TAAAAAATTAATTCTAAAAATATAAAATTTATTGTGTAATCTTTTTTTTATTATCTTATATAATAAAAAATAATTATCTCTCATATCTTATTTTATCTCACTTACATGTTATATAACTTGAATTTAAAATTTTTTATTTTCAATAAAAAAAATGATCATTAAATTATTTAAATGGTTAACAAAATTATTATGTAATCTTAATAGAACTTATCCACTAAAGATGACAATATAAGAATAATTTCTCTATATAATATTTTAATATAATTTTTACATATCAAAATATTTAGAACCTGTTTGGTAGTGCTTACAGTAACTTTTAACTTTTTGATACTATTCATGCTTCATATGTTTAAAATTTTTTATTAAATAATTATATTTTTAAAATATCTTTTAACCTTAAAAAGGTGTCAAACAGTAAAAATTTAAAAATTTCAAATTCAAAATTTTCAAAATTTTCTTTTTTACTCACTTTTTGCTCATTTTTTTTATTTCTAAAAATAACTTTTAATTTTTTCTCTAATAAAAATTTAAATTTATCCCTCATAAATAGTACAAAAAAGTAAAAATTTTAACAAACTGCATCAAACATGCCCTTATCATTATGAATTTTAAATAAATAAATAAATTATTTATTTAAATAATAAATAAAATTATTTAAAAATAATATAAAAATTTATTCTTGAATTATTTTCAATATTACAAATTTTAAATAAATAAATAAAATTAATCATTTAAAATTTTAAATAATAAATAAAATTATTTAAATATAATGTAAAAATTTTGTTCCTGAATCATTTTTTCTATTGAAAATTGAAAATACTTCTGTGATTCATGAAATCGCTCGTATTTTAAGACAATTAGCTCTTTGCTTTCCCTGCACCGCCTGGTCCGCCTCAGCTCTTTTCTTCTCTATTCTATCTATGCACTGAAACATAGCGATGCACAATACTCTCCACTGATAAACCCTAAACCCTAATCCATCTCATCTCGAAAATCTTCCACAAATCCGAGCCCTAATTCTAATATGACCAAGATCTTAGGCACCGGTGCCTATGACTTCAAGCGCCACCATGTCGCCGAGTACCCGGTCGACTTGCCTTCCCATCCTGGTGACAAACCGGTCGAGGCAAAGCCAGGTGTGGCGCTTCCGAGCTCCATCACTTTATCAGAGATCCAGCGCGATAATCTCACTAGGATTGCTGAAGCTAATTGGCTCAAGAGCGGCGGCTCTAAGCCCGAGAAGGCGTTCGATCCAGAGCTTGTGAAGGAAATTTACCACACGGAGCTGAAAGTGAAGTCTGGGAGGAAGCCGGTGCCGTTGCAGAGGGTGATGATTCTGGAGGTGAGCCAGTACTTAGAGAATTACTTGTGGCCGAATTTTGAGCCTGAGACAGCATCATTTGAGCATGTCATGTCCATGATTTTGATGGTCAATGAGAAGGTAATGGTTCTCTCTCTGTGTGATAGTTTTTCCCTTTTAATTCTTTTAGTTTTTGGTAATTGTTTATTTCGCTATTGAGGAATTGTTGAGTAGTTTTCATGAATTAAGGAAGAAAATAAAAGGAAAATAAGAAGGAAAAGCAAAATTTATTGAACCTACAGTAATATTCAAACAAACGAGAATACTAGATACTGCAATTGCTAATGGAGAAACTAAGATGACCACCCCCTTTGTATTCAAGTTGTCTATGAGGTTTAAAATGGTAAGGAAAAATGTTGTTTACAAGTTTAATCCTTGACGTGGCAGTTTCGAGAGAATGTAGCTGCCTGGATATGCTTTTATGATAGGAAGGATGTCTTCAAGGGATTTCTTGGGAGGGTTCTTCACTTAAAGGAGGTTTGTATCCCTTTTCTTTGGGTTTGCATAATTTGAGTATCTATATAACATGTTCATTTAAAATTACGATAAATTGTTTTTTTTTATTCTATTTTATAATTGTTTGTGGGTTTTGCATTACCGTCAATGCTTACATGCTTTTGTGCTCAATAAAATTAATTAGAATAAGCATTAGACTCTTGATTTATAACTGGAATAATTTGTGCAGTTGTCTTGTTTGTTTGCAGCTTGTCATGCTTAGGTTTGCACCTCCAAATAAAAAAAAACTGTTTATGAAGCTCAATATTTCTATCCTAATTTTCTTATAAACATGTTTTGTACTTTTCTATGTATCTTATTTGTATCACACTGCCTTCCTGATAAAGCGTACATTCTCAACAATGAAAGTGCTACCTGGGTCCATTAATTTCATACTTTTTTTTTCCTTGCATAACAAGTCCGAATTGTTAATCCAAATTGTTAATGACCTCTGACTCTGAGTCATTGATGAGGGCCGTTCAAGAAGTTTATATCTTGAACAGTATTAAGCTCACAATTTTACTATTAGTTGCCTAATCTTTGATTATCACGACATATTTGGAATTTGCATCCATTAATGGTCATCTATTATTTATTTTGTGCTATGTTTGAACAAATTAGTAGCTCTTTGGTGTTTGATTAATGTCTTGGCATATTTACCTTTTACCACCTCCGGCTGAAGAAAAATTGTTAATGATGATGAAATATGGTAGGAAATGGATGTTTGATGCTCATCATTTGTCTAACTATAGTTAACTTGTTCCAAGATTCCTTGATTTTTGTTAAGACAGTTAATTCACCCTTATGACAATCCATTTATGTTGATTCAATTATTGCATGTAATGTATCACTTTCAGGACAGAAGTTTTGTGAAATTATCTAATAATATGCTAAAGCTCATAAAATTGTGGCTTTTTGATGAATTTGGATGAGGGTGTTGCCTTTTGATTAATACTCATTTTTGCTCCTTTTTGATAATATATGCTTATTTTTGTTAAAATGGAAGTGTGTTTTAGTTTTCATTGTTAGCAACTTTTGACACCTTTTTATCTATTAAAATTGCACAGGGAAAGGAGTTGACTATTGCAGAGAAGACAAACTATCTAGTTTTTATGATCAATGCCTTTCAGGTACATTAGTACTATGTATCAATTGCATTAGACTCTTACAGTCATGTATATGAATGGCTGCTCTCTTGCAGCATTTTCATAAACTGGCTGTTGGATTGAAAGTTCTATTCATGTAAATCATACATGTCAATTTTCATATTGAGCTAACACTTATAACCCTCTGATCAAAGAAACTCCATTTATTGACATATATTTAACGGTGTTAAATTTCTTATAATTAGCGAAGTGGTTAGGCCTATTAGAACAATTTGAAAATTGGCATGCGTAATCTATATGAATGGAACTTTTAATCCAAC